TATATATATATATATATATATATATATATATATATATATATATATATATATATATATATATATATATGAGATTGCGACAGGAACCCATAAACTTCAAATTCTAGATCCGCCTCTGCATATATATATATATATGGGTTCCTGTTGCAATCTCAAATTTTAGTAGTGGACTATATTTTTAATTTCTTCCTTTTCTAGATAAAAAACCATAACTATGCAAAATTGAGGGGGTGTGGAAATATATACATGTAAACAACAACATATGCTAGATTTTGTGCAAGTGGTATTGACCTTTTTCCAACGACACCGCTTCGTCGGAATTTTACATAATACATGTAATAATATTGTACGAATAACATGAAAAAGGAAATGACACCAATTGGTACATATTGTCGCTTGACACTACAGGTTAAGTGTTAGGACCGAAAAAGTCAGGTGCCATGCGGAAGCTAGTAAAGCAATACTTGAACGATGATAAATCAGATAACAAAAGAGAAATATACCAAAAGAGACACAAACATGTAACGTGGTTCGGCCAATTTGACCTACATCCACGGCAGAGATGAGCAATCCACTATAATAAAAGTGAGTACAAAATATCGAGAGAACAACCTCACGAAGAGGCAAACACAAGTGACACACTAACACTTGTCCCGTAAAGTTCTCCCCCTAAATACGACTCTCAAGCCTCCTATGGCTACATTGTGGATGCTACTAATGAGAAGGAAGGATCCTCAATTTATAGAAGTCCAAACCTTTTCCTACAAGAAAAAGGACTAGCCAAAAATGGAAGATTTGTAATTTCCTTCTACAAGAAGGAAAACCCAGTTAAGATAAACATGTTGCTCTTTCCTTCAATAGATAAGAAAACCAAATATGGTAATTAAGAAAATTTTGGCAACACCTAACATTAAGTTCCTAAGTTTCCTCCAAGAGTTGTGGTTAGGTAGATTATTCTTTGCTCTTATATAAATATCAATAATGCTTGAAAAAATCCTGCGTACGCTCATGAGTCTATTATATAAAAATATTAGAGTATTATTTACATATATATTTAATGAATGTTCTAGGCGAGGCGATGTCAGATGACACTTTGTTAACAGTGTCTCCACCATTGCACGTAAAAGGTTTCTAACTTTCAAAGGAAAGATTAGTGTTAGGCTTGAAAAAGAAAAGCTTTTGTCTTATGATTAGAAATAAGTAGAGTAGTTACTAGTACTACCGAAAGAGTCTTCACCTGTCCAAATTAAATACCTCAAACTACCACTATAATCTTTGCTATTGCTTATTTGGTTCTAGTGGTCCAATATTTTGCCTTTCCAACTGTGCCACCCTGTACTATTTAATTCACTCTCTAGTTTTCACTCTCTTTGCATGTTTTTATATATAAATACATGTCCATTGCTTACAAGAAAGTGCATTCAAACTAATTTTTTCTGTCTACACAAAAACAGTTAGAACTTGAAGGTGTGTTTTGTCATGTCAACATTTGCAAAAATGGCCATGACTAGTTCTTTAACACCTACTAGTACTACTACTACACTTTCCATTTTTTTCAGCCTTTTCTTGATTTTAGGAGTGGCTATTTCACAAACTGAGGCTCGTGCATTTTTTGTGTTTGGAGATTCACTAGTTGACAGTGGGAATAATAACTATTTGGCTACTACTGCAAGGGCAGATTCACCTCCATATGGTATTGATTATCCAACTCGCAGAGCAACTGGTCGTTTCTCCAATGGCCTCAATATTCCTGACATTATCAGCTGAGTCCATCACCTCCTTTTTTGTTTACACTAGCACCTAATTATATATACTGATTTTTGTAAAAATATTTATACCCCGAGTATATTTTTTATCAATGTAGGGGCAATCTGTCTTATTTTTCAGGTTACTATATAGTTGGCCACCTTTTATGGAGATTTGCACAAATATGATAGGCTATTTTTTAACTTTTGTCCTTGTTTAAGTAACTTGTGCAAGAATAAGTTGGCGAGGCATAACTTGTAAATAGTTATAACGGGCGCATATCTTCAAAACTTTTAAAGCTAAGGACAAAATTTAAACATTGGTCCTCAAAGCATACTATTTTTGCAGTTTTTATGGATGGTTACGTATAGTGTTCCTTCAAATTGGGACGTGACAGAACTGTCAAAATTCTTTTAGATTGTCGATGCATAAAAGTTAAACTCTATACGGGAAGACGCAACATTTTGCATTTTTTACGTACAAGGGTAGTCAAGACAAGAGGTGTAACATGAAGAGAAGGCTAATATCTTATGTTGTCGTGGACTCTCCAAAATATTGCAGCATCCGTGTTGCTCCTCTTAAAATACACTACTTTTGGAGGATCCGACATGCACCCGACATATTTTCGGAGAGTCGGAGCAGCATAACATCTATATAACATTTAGATACAAAATTAGCTTGATGTATCTTTTACTACTAAAAATGAGAGCAGCATTACATGCATATTTAGATATACAGTTAATCAACTTTGATTTTTTTACCTTTTCAGGTCAGCAAATTGGTTCTTCAGAATCACCATTGCCATATTTGAGTCCAGAGCTTAATGGACAAAGGCTTCTAGTTGGTGCCAATTTTGCATCAGCTGGAATTGGAATTCTAAATGACACTGGCATCCAATTTGTACATACAAAAACACTAGTCCAAACTCAATTTATTTCTATTTAACATGCTATACTTCTCTAAATTTAAATATTTTAATTTTGTTGGTTAAGTTAGATATCTTTTGGTTTAATGTAAAGTTATGCTATATGTGCAGATAAATATTGTTCGAATTCCACAGCAATTGGAATACTTTAGACAATACCAGAGCAGAGTGAGTGCACTAATTGGAGAAGAAAGTACCAAACAACTTATAAATCAAGCTCTTGTTCTTATGACTCTAGGAGGCAATGACTTTGTTAACAACTATTATCTCGTGCCCAATTCTGCGCGATCGCGACAATATGCTCTGCCAGATTATGTCCCTTTTCTGATATCAGAATACCGTAAAATTTTGATGGTAAATGTCTCCTCTTGAACTTCCTGCAAATTGTCTCCCCTAACATACCGTCAAACCTCTATAAAACAGCCTCGTTTGTTTGGTATTTGTTGTCGGTATAGTGAAGTGTTGTTGTAAAGAACATATATTATAGCATAAACATTAGTTCCAAAATAAACTTGGATGTTATATAAATTGTTGTTATAGAGGACGACCGTTAAATAGAGAGGTCTGACTGTATTAATTTTTCAGTACAAGCTTAGTGAGAATAAAATACCTACAATATTAGGGCCATCAATATCATACCTAAAATATTAGGGCCTTCAACATAACAGTTATTACCACAATAAAGTTTTCACCAAGATATATAAATGGTAGTCAACAGAGGTTGCAAGCTGTACTTAATTTTTTTTAATTTTTTTTTGGTAAATAGCTGTACTTAAAATTGACATGACATCAGATATACTCAGACAGCAATAGTGTAGGCAGATAAATACCTGAAAGTCCCCACCCCCCCACCACACACACACCTTTAATTTTTTTCATATTTTCGATACTATATTTCTATTATATAGAAAAGGAAAGATGGTTGACCAAGGCCATATATGTCATTTCATAAAGAATTCATGTTTGTATTTCTTAAATGTAAAATACACGTGGACCCCATATTCCTCTAGCCACAACTCTCCTTTAAATGCACTATGCTTGTGTTGATTACACTATTTGTCTAGTGCAAATGCTCATTTCCAATCTTTTTCTCATTTTGGAAAATTATTAATTTTTGTTTTATTTAAATAGAAGTTTCCATAGAGAAAATAAAATTAATTTTTAAATAATACAACAACAAAAAGAAGTATCGATATTTACGAGATTTTCATATTTACCCATACTATCTTAAAGCAGTTTGAAAATAAAAATTAAATAATTTTCATCTACCATATTTTTTGAAGATGATTTCAAACTAAATATTTTTATATTCAAAAGTAACTTTAAAATATATAGCTTGTTAAACCTCAAAAGTTAATTAACTAAACACCAACAAATAATAATTTTAATAAAATTGCAATGTTGGGCCCGCCTTTCCTCATCTAGTATGAGTAGAAAATATAGAGAACTTCTGGTGTCTGATATATCTGGACTCGGCTTTTGAATGTCATTGCAGAGGGTTTATAATCTGGGAGCTCGACGAGTGCTTGTTACTGGTACCGGACCCTTAGGTTGCGTCCCAGCAGAACTTGCCCAACGTAGCAGAAACGGCGAATGTGCAGTCGAATTGCAACAAGCTGCAGCTCTGTTCAATCCACAACTTACACAAATGTTGCAGGACCTTAACAGTGAATTAGGCAGCAACATTTTCATTGCTGCAAATACACAACAAATGCACATTGATTTCATTACTAATCCACAAGCATATGGTAAGCAGTTTAGTATAAAATCTATGCTTTAATATTTGCATGTCTTATTATTATTGATACATTCATTCTGTTATATGCAGGATTTATAACATCAAAAGTAGCATGTTGTGGACAAGGGCCATACAATGGTCTTGGCCTATGCACACCACTATCTAACTTGTGCCCGAATAGAGATTTATACGCGTTTTGGGATCCGTTCCACCCATCCGAACGAGCAAATAAGATAATTGTGCAGCAAATCATGACTGGTTCATCAGAATACATGAATCCAATGAATCTCAGTACAATTCTGGCCATGGATTCTATGGCGTAATATGTTTTCGGAATCTGTTCATTACCTTTTATCGTTTATTGCAAAAATTTTGGCTACAATAAGTTGTATCCAGCACTTCATGTGCTATTTTTAAGTTTCAAAAGTTTGGGAGTGTACCATGTTCATTCACAAAATTGAGTAATCTAATTTGTAGGTGGAGTGTAATGTTTGTTGAAATGTAAACCAATTGTGCGTTTTTATATGAAGTGAAACAGTTTTCATGGCATGTAATTCAGGCATATTGATATTTCAGATGGTGTGATATAGTACAATCACTAAAAGAGTCAGTACTCAGTACTACAGCCACTATTAGCAGTATTTATTTTCTCACTCTTGAGTCTTGACCACAGGCCACAGCTATGCAATTGCTGTTGAGTTAAACACTCATATTTACTTCCGAAAAATAAGAGTTAATTACTCAAATGGTCACTCAACTATCTCAAATTATATTTTAAAGTCACTTTTCTTTCGTTTGTAACAACAAAGTCACTGAACTATGCCTATTACACTCACAAGGTCACTCAACTAGATTTTCCAAATTTTGGTTTGCCAAATACCTATTTTACCCTCTAAATTATAAATATTTATCTTCTTTGATTTTTTTTAAACTTTTTAATGTTATGATTTTCCCTTTTTAATTTATATTATGGACTTACCTATAGAATAAATAAATATTATTTATAAATTAAAAAAATAAAAAATATTTAAGCATTTATAATATTGGAATAATAAAATAATGAGTATAGTAAAAAGATTAATTAGAATAATTTGTTTGTAATAATAATTTTAGTATTAACAGAAAAAATTCAAAAATTTATTTACACAATTCATAATGAAAGAAAATAAAGGTCGTAAAATATATATTCCATGCACCTAATATAAAAATAATTATTTAAATAAAAGTATTTTTATAATATACATTATATGAAAATTATGCTCAATTATATTATATATATTCCATGCACGACTTAACATAGCATATTTTACCCTATATAGATAGTCCACCTGCTTTCCGGTGACATAACTTTGTGTCATCAGAAAGTTGGTAGAAACATAGTAATATAATTGAGCATAATTTTCAAGAATATATAATGTATATTATAAAAATACTTTTATTTAATAATTATTTTTATATTACGTTCATGGAATATATATTTTACAACCTTTATTTTCTTTCATTTTGAATTGTGTAAATAAATTTTTGAATTTTTGTTGTTAATACTAAAATTATCATTACTAACAAATTATTCTAATTAATTTTCTTACTATGCTCATTATTTTGTTATTCCAGCATTATATATGCTTAAATAATTTTTATTTTTTTAATTTATAAATAATATTTTTTTATTCTGTAGGTAAGTCCATAATATAAATTAAAAAGAAAAAAATTATAATATTAAAAAGTTTAAAAAAAATAAAAAGTAGATAAATTGTTATAATTTAAAAATAGGTATTTGGCAATCCAAAATTTGAAAAATCTAGTTGAGTGACTTCTGAGTGCAATAGGCATAGTTCAGTGACTTTGTTGTTACAAACGAAAGTAAAGTGACTTTAGGAGATAATTTGGAATAGTTGAGTGACCATTTGAGTAATGGCCTCTGAAAAACAATTGGAGGTTTGACAGTAAGACATACATATAAAGCAGTGATGGATGGAGCACAGAATCAATGGGTTCAATTGAACGCAATATTTTCGTCATGGAATATATATATATATATATGTGCAAAAAATCATTACATATAAAAAAATACTACATTAAATTTTGAACTAATAATAATAATAAAAGTGTAAATGGTAAGAACATGAACGTTGAATTTATCAAATTTAAATCTTAGATTACCTTTACTATAAAGGTTGTGTAAGCAGGGGCAGAGCTAGAGTATTGGGGGTGGGTTTGGTCGAATCTAGTAGCTTTGGTTCGAACCATGTATTTGTCTTACAAAATTCATTGTATAATATACTTAAAACACAGTAACTTCAAACGATTAGAATTCCAAACCCATAATCTTAACTCCACCTCTATGTGTAAAAATTGTATTAGGAGTTAATTCTTCCATAGACATTTCATGATGAGGTTGAAGAGACCTAGTAGTCGGGCGTTCTATATCAGCTATGGTGCCTACGGATAATTAATTCTTTGAACCATATCAGTGTCATAGAGGCGAAGTCGGGATTTTAACTTCATGGTTTTTGATTTAGAACGATTTTATTATTTATATTGTTACGAACTTAGCTCAAAGTAATAATATAAAATAAGAAGATAAGTAGAATAAGAGAAGAAGAGATAACTTTCTTATTTCATCAAGCGTTCAAGTGTGTACAATATGGTGCCAAAACCCTCTATTTATAGGATTACATAGAGGCATACAAAAGAATCCCATAAACATGACATTAAATATTTTAGATCATGGAGGAAGATCATGGGGAGGTTATGGAGGTGTGGGAGTTACAACTATAATGGTGAGAAGTAGTGAGAGTTATCTACATAATGGAGAAGAGTAGTGGGAGTAACTTCTTTAGGAATTATAGACATCCACTACAAAATATAATATTTCATAACACGTCCCCTTGGATGTCTATAGATAATGTGCCTCGTTAAAACCTTACTAAGAAAAAAACCTGTGGGAAAAAATCTTAGTGAAGGAAAATGAGTACACATATCTTGTAATACGCATTATTTGCTGCCTCATTAAAAACCTTGCTAGAGAAACCCAGTAAAATTTTAGCTAAGGGAAAAAGAGTACAACGCGTATTTGCCCCCCCTGATGAAAACATCACTTTATTCTTTGGAGATGACGAATTCCAAGCTTGTATAACAACTTCTCTAATATTGAGATCCGCAATGCATGTGAAGAAGTTTGTCAAATTATCACTTGAACAAATTTGTTGAAGAACTTTGGTGAATGTCCTTTATTTTGTCTCCTTCGATGGTCCTTCTTTCAATTGAGCTATGCATGCAGTATCATCTTCAATGTAATTGGAACCTTGTTGAATATCACAATACGGCATTACCCTCATATACAAATAGATTGTTTCAAGAACGAATTTCAGAAAATGCCTGCATTTCCATAACCAACAAAACCTTGACAATAATTGTTAGAATAAACAAATCTATATCAAAGATTCCTTTCGCAATATAACGCTAATCGTATTTCGATATCTCCATATAGCCTTTATACTTTCAGCTGTTGGAACTATCCGTCCAACTTCATATTTTTCAGATGAAGTCAATTTTCATTGCATATTTTTCATTTGGCCAATCATTTATTTGTCCATATTCCATGACAGATTTGAGCTCAACATCCTCGTCAATATTAATAATATTGGGCTCTACATTATATAAACAATATCGGTAATGATCATTTTACATCGGTTCCGTCATTACCCACTAAAGACATAACTTATTGAGATCTCTTTATCTCATTATTTTCAGGTACCTGAGCCTCTCCCATGAGGTCTTATAAAGTGTTATGTCATGGTGCTCTTATAAAGCACTTGCCTCCTTATTGTGACCATCTTGAACATTTGCTCCTCTCCTTCTTCAAGGATTTTTATCTTTGGAATCGATTAGTCTATTACGCTTCATGCGTCCCATAGACTATATCATGGACTTTATTCTATTTGGAGCATTAACAGCTGAAATATGACATTTAGCTTTGGGTCAGCAAATGCGCTTGGCATTATTTTGCAAATGAATTATCACTTGAACTTCAAGTTCACATTTTCTTGTACAAGGATCTAAGTGTACTCATAATAATTCATTCCATGTATTACTTTTTTCAGCTGCTCATTTTCTCTCCGTAATGTTGGGATCACCAACACATATCCCCAACCTTCTTTGGGGACCAATCTTTGTGCATTGTGGTGGCACAATTAAATCATATAGTACATCCATATTTCTAGATGAAAATATTTGGTTCCTTACCCTGAACCAATTGTGATGGGGAGAATTTATCATAACTTGTTGGCTAGATGCGTACAAGTACTGTTGTATATTAAATAATATACTTAATACAAAATTTCTATTTGGATTTTTGTTCTCATAACCAATGGTTTAGCTATAATTGGAGGCATACAATTTCTACTAAACCAACTTGGATTTAAACCTGCATTATCATCACAATTTATATTCTGGAATTATGCTCTAATAATTTGAGCAAACAACCTTGCAAAAGCCAAATTGCAAGTTGATAACCAACGCACATGTGACCATACAATAGATGCATCTATTAAAATCATATAATAGTAAAAGGTTCACATGGCAGGTGACTGGGCCCATATATATATCACCTTCTATCCGTTCCAGAAATCAAGAGATTCAATCCCAACCTTAACTAGTATATCATGAGAATAAGCAGCACAAGAGAATTCTTGAAGAATCTTCTATTTCTTCAATATATGCCAATGTGAATTCTCAATTAATTTTCGCATCAATAAACCGGGATGGCCAACGGGTCATGCCAACTGATCTTTATTTCAGTAAACATTTAATTTACTATGGCATGTGATTTCATCATTGTCACACCTCCTTTTTACACACCCGAAGGCAGTACAAGGGAGTTTTTTCACTTAAAGGACAATCGAAACGGGATTTATTATTAGAAGATTCAGAGTCGCCACTTGGGAGATTTATGGTGTCCCAAGTCACCGGTTGAATCCCGAATCGAGGAAAATAATGACTCTGTTTAACAGTCCGCGAACTAGAAATCCGAGTAAGGAATTCTGTTAATCCGGGAGAAGGTGTTAGGCATTCCTAGGTTCCATGGTTCTAGTACGGTCGCTCAACTGTTATATTCGGCTTGATTATCTGATTTTAAACAATTATGGACCTATGTGCAAATTTTAACTTTTAACCGCTTTTATATAATTTATTAAAGAAGATTGCAACGTTATTAAAACATGTCTCGAACCACGTCACATAAATGCACCCGTGGCTTTCGACATATTTTAAAATAGTTGAGATTTGGATTTGGGTCACATAAATGTGCACCCGAGTTTAGGAAGATAAAATTATTAAATAACGCGCCTAAAGCAACTAACGCGTTGTTAACTTTGCGAGGGCCATGGGAATTAGCTAAGTGGCAAGCCTCGAGTTCTAAATATTTTAAAGAAAAATTAAAGAGGGCCACGCATTTGTGATTTTATTTGGCGCGACGCTCCTCAATTTCATTTTTAAAGGACATTCGAACTAAGATTCGGAGGGCCATATGCAACTTGTTTATCTAACATGG